CTCACACGTTTCAAAGTGATCCTTACTACTACTCCTTGAAAGAAACTCAATTAATTCTTCTTTATTTAAACAAATGTTCTTGTTATTTGGTATTTAAAAAAAAAAAATTTAGACTAACGCAAAACCAGAAATATATTTCAGGGCAAAAAAATTACTAATCACCGACAATGCTTCTATGGTAACAAAGAAACAGGATAACGTGAAATGCATCTAAATACGCCTAAACTCACTTGATAAGGGTTTTAATTGTATGTAAACGGGTCAGTTTGATCAGATTAAGTTAATGTGTATTGCTATTTCACCCCTAAGAATTACTGTCCTTAGCAATCTGTAAAAAAAATGTCCAGAACGAGATATCTCGTCCTTAGCAGTGAGGGCACAGACAATTGCAGCCGAGTTATCTCGTCTTTAGCAGTCTGCCGGGCAGACGAGTTATCTCGTCCATAGCAGCGAAAGGGTTAATAAATGACCAAACTATTTTGATTTTAGGCTGGATACAGTCGTGGGACATAGACTGTACTCTCTCGTGAAACGTAAGCTGGGGCTATGGGGTAGGTGGGTTGGGGTTAGGGTCAGTACTAAATGTTCTGGGATCGTCAAAAGAGGTCGCATCGTGTAATATAGAACATGCGATATCGCCGGTGAAAAAATTGAAGATAACACAACATGACATCCATGTAAGACAGACCAGAGCGTATGAAAGGTCATCGAGCATGAAAGAAAGGCCAAAACATCTCGTTCGGCGACGTGATGTGTGTGTTTGGCACGGAAAACGTTACTTGTACCTCTTCATCTTATATCTTAAAGATAATAGTGATATTATTCTATAGTTTTAACATTTGTACACATCTCTTTTCCCAGAGATAAGTATTAATAATGACAATTTCGTCACCAGGTTAATTCCTCTTTTCTCCAAAAATGTTTTCATATGTTCTCCGTGTGTGATTTATGTGTCCCGGGGCTGCTGGAATGAAAAAAAAAGGGGGGTGGGGCTGGTGATATACCCACTGTTTTCTAAAAACATGTTATTAAAGGTGATTAATCGGCAGTTTAATCGGTGATAAAATCGGCCGAAAGGCGCAGATATGGTACTTATCTGTTAACCACAACAACATGCGCCAACCACAATTTTAAAGGCGAGCGCAGAAAAAGAAGTATTAATATGCATATGTTTTAATCGAAGGCGTTGCTACCTTTGAGGTCGATCCAGACTAAAATGGGAACGAGACAGTGTTATGGGAATTAAAGATGTCCGGTGGGTTGTTGACCAAATGACCCATCGAATGTTGATTGATCACAGCACTCGGCACATTTCCACCGGTGCTCTGTCACCTTCTTCAGTAATCATCAGAGAGTCGTCATGCTGATAGTACCCGTTGCAACATGATTAAAAGTCCGTTTCTGTTTCCCCTTCAATGTTGAATATCGTTCAGACCCTATACACAGCCCCGCTGAATTAGTCTTGCAATGTATAATTCTCTGTCTGTTTCATATATGACTGAATTATAGGAGATGTAAAAACAAATACTGTTAATAGTTCTAAAGGGAACTTATACTCATCATCATCATGTTGCAGGTGCTTTGCAGAACGTCGCTCTCATCACCGTCTGCCTGAAAGAAACTAGGTCTCTCGCCAGTTCTCCCGCCTCATGTTCTTTCATACTCAAGGAGTCATTTATATCCTGTGCCCATCTTCGTGTTGGTCGGCCCCTGCCCCTCCTTCCTGGTACCATACCTTCTGCTATAATTTTTTTTTTCCAATCCGTCGTGGCGCTTGATATGACCAAAATATTTCAGCTTCCGAGACAGGATGCTGTTTATTAGCCAATCTTCCTTGATGTTCAGATGTTTCAGGATGTCAGTATTTCTCCTCTTCTTTGTCCAAGATATTCTGAGAATCTTTCTATAGCATTTCAGCTCAAAAGCCCATATTCTCTTTCTTAAGGACTGAGAGATATGTAACCACAGGGAAGATGCATGCTCTCAAAATTCTAATTTTTATCTCCTTGCTGGTGCTTAACCATAGACTTTTAAGGCTGTTCAGTCTTTGCATTGCTATGGCCATCCCCCTTTTAATTTCTGTCGAACAGTCTCCATTGCTGTTAATTATAGAGTCTAGACATTCAAAGTTTGTGACATTTTCAATTTCTTTATCATTTATAGTTATTTTTGGGTGACAGCCAGTTTTATGTGTGGACATTATTTTCGTTTTCTTTAAATTAAAAAAAAAAACCAACAGATTTTGATCTTTACTGTGCTTTTGGACAGACAATAGAACTTATACTAGGTTAGTTGCGTATCCTTTACAGGACGTTGCAGAACTAACCCCAACAGCTTCTGGCTGATGCGTGGTTTTTCTATGCAAATTTACGTCAAGTAGTTTAAAACTTATACTTAAGTTAGTTGCGTATCCTTTACAGGATGTTGTAGAACCAACCCTAACAGCCCCTGGCTGTTGTGTGTTTTCTCTAGGCAATTTACATCCAGTAGTTTGCCAACGAACACCTGGACGGTCGGCTTTCTTGATACCACTGTCGAAACCAACGCAAGGCGCATTGCCCGCAGCCGGGATCGAACCTAGCATCCCAGCATTACGAAGCGAAGCGTTTGCATAGACTTAGCCACAGAGCCGACAGAACTTATACTACTGGACGTAAATTTGCCTAGAAAAACCACGACAGCCAAAAAAATGCCAGGGTTGGTTCTGCAACGTCCTGTAAAGGATACACAACAAACTAAAAAGGGAACTTGTACAGTTTGATAATGGAGAAGGGATTTTAGCTCTACATAATTAAAAGTGGAGGGGAGAGAGAGAGGGGGAGGGGAATCAAGGGGTCTTTCCCTCATCCGCAGATTCAAGCTTGTAAACAGCAGTTTTATTTTTATTTCGTTTACAAATAATATATTTCCTACTTTTTTAAGGAAAGGGGGGGGGGGGGTGGTGGGGGGGGGGGGGGGGGGGGGGGGGGTCCAGTTTTGCCACTTTAGATGTTTTACATTTAGATTGAGATGTTTTTCCTTGCATTTAGATGGCGTTTTTGATGTTTAGATGGTAGATGTTTCACTAGAAGTTTTTCATTTGAAGTGAATTTATCAAATCTAACCTCAGAAACAGGATGAAATTTGATCTCTTAAATGCTATCTTGACAATAAAATTCGGCCTGATAACAGTAGGAAAAGGCTGTTCCATTTATCAGCTCCCTGATTAGGTATTAAAAGACATTAGAACAGCCTAAGCATACCAGAATCATTTTGGATCTGAAGCTTCAACTTCTTCATTCAAGCTCAGTTTATCCTGTTGATCTTGTAAGGCAGACTTCAGTAAAGATGAGGACATGATTCTATAGGCTGTCATATTATTGCTATGTAATTTGTGACTCTTTCCATTTGGATGTTTTTTTCTAGATGTTTCCCACGCAAATTCAGATGTTTTTAGATTTTGTTTGACTCCGTTTTGGATGTTTTTTGTCAACGAAAAGTGGCAACACTCAACACTGCCATTGTGTTTACAGTTTACCGTATGTTGAGTGCAACATCGACTTAGGTCGGATCAATTCAGTTACAGTACGTTCTAGATAATAATAATTTATCCAGTTATTTCTGTATTTGGAGTTTAATATTTTCTATTAGCAAAAAAGCGAAGATACCTGTGAGAAAGTGGAGATGTGGTTTTTGATTGAAAACACATATTTTATTTTTAATTTAATTTAGAAGATGTCAAGATGGATATCGTTGAAACTAACTATAGAGCCAGGTGACTGCAGTCAATCAAGCTAATACAAGGAATTCCAGAGAAATTTGACTAAAAAGCTCAACAAAATGGGAAAGAGGAAAACGTGCACAAAACAACACAACGTAACGTTTCGGTCGGGCAGCCTTTTTCAAACACAAGTGAACTACACAAACGAGGAATGGAGAGTATGGTAGATCAGATCTCTAAGGGGTGACGTGAGCGACGTTTAAAAAATGTGATGCGGAATAAATGAAATAAAATAAAATTAACGATGGCTAAAAAATATAGTCACAATACTGGGAATAAAAGAAATACAAGTGTTAATGATACATAAATGATACTGATAAGAAATAGAATAAAGGGTTCTCCTTAAAATTACGTCATTTGTGTCGTTCCCTCTTGTCCACTCTGTAATTGCAATGCGGCCAGGGGACTGAACTCCGGCGTACTCCATAATAAGTGGCCATAGTTTTAAGGAGAGCCGAATAAAGTAATAATATGAAACAAAATAAAATAATTAACATTTAAAATGTGATAAGATTAGAACTATTTAGATGAAGGTATGTTGGATATTAATACCACTTGGACTAAGAACGCCAAGGCTGTGAATAAGACAATTTTCCAAAGTGAGGCGGTTAGTATGATCGCCAGAGCAAGATTTTAATGCTGTGACAGATATGACATCCTTACCGCTGTGATCAGGGCTATCAAAATGAAGAGGGATCCCTCTTCATTTTAATAGCCCTGACCACAGCAGTAAAGATGTCATATCTGTCACAGCATTAAAATCTTCTCCGGCGATCATACTACCCGCCTCGCTTTGGAAAATTCGCCTTTTCATCCCTCTTCATTTTAATAGCCCTGACCACAGCAGTAAAGATGACATATCTGTCACAGCATTAAAATCTTGCTCTGCCTCCAGACTATCGCCTCCCAAAGAGAGTATTTTATGGCGAGCTTTAGCAATGGAAGAGGTGCCAGGGAGGACAGAAAAAGTGCTATAAGGACACTCTCAAGACTGCTCTTGATTCTTCTGGTAGTAATTGTATTGTTCTTTTTTAATCAGTCAAGCAACATTGCTGCAATGAAGTAATAATTGAGTATGGGTCTCAGTGCAACAAAGCCTGCAGATGCAGTCATGGACAGGGAAGCTCTCTCAAATGAAAGCCATGATGGCTTCAAAGATGAGAGGCACTTCCCTAGATCTACCTACTGTAATAGTGTTGCCTCTGGAAGCAAAGACTGTGAGGATGAGGTATCTACGAGTATGTCAGCCACACCACAAGATGAGGTATCTACGAGTATTTCAGCCACACCACAAGTTGAGGGAGCCTCAGTGGATGACGAAGAGTTAGGGAAAACAAAGACTGGTGATTTTAAAATGCTCATAAAGAAGGATTTGCAATATCTTGTAGGTAAGTTAATGTACATTTTGTGAATGTTATTTCTACTGTACTTTTTCTTCTTCATTTTCTTCTCTCCAGTCACTTTACCTTCCTCTTTATCTTCTCCTCCATTGGAGTCTAGACCCTTAGATAACTCAGGCCAAGCTGTTATTCAATTTTGTTAGTTCCTCTGCTACATCTCCCTCGCTGTCCTCACTAAATTAACTCGGTTTCTTTTTCTGTTATCCATTTTTCAAAAATATTTCACTACGCCTTACTACAACAGTTTATTGCACTGGGTATCAGTGAATGGTTTGTCAGTGAGGTACATTATTCTTCTTCTTTTCTCTACTACTGGAATGTCTCGCAGCATCAGGGCAGGGCCAGATGTCTAGGACAGGCCCTTCTGTTCGCTTTGTATATAGTACTTTTCAGTGTCTCTGATATTTCTACGGCCCTGCGATGTGCAGGGGCTTCATTGTGATGTGTGTACCAACAATGAAATAGGGTGTCATTAACGTAACAAATGCAGTATCAAATAAATTTCAGTGCCACCAGCCAAGTCTGACAGAACATGATGGATGTTAAAGGCTTCCAAATGCAATTAAAGCTGAAGACTAGGGGAGTAAGTCATTGGTGCATTGCTTGACAACTTGATCAATGATAAATGTGCAATACTCAAACTCCAGACTCACCCAAACATGCCAACACAAGCAACCGCTCGACACATCCTGACGAATAAATTCCAATGGCACCGACAATTCAAATGATGGGTCACAGTCCGACCTTGGAAATCCCGGCGGTCACATCGATCTCACTCCGACCTTGGAAGTCCGGACAGTCACATCGATCTCCTCTTCTGCAGTCTGAACAAGGCAGTGTCCCTTTTAATGGTTCGGCCTCAAGTATACCGGCTTCCTGCCGAGCGCAATAGACAATGTACCAGCTTTCCGCTGAGGTTTCTAGTAGAGTCCCGGGTTAGAGCGTCCTCAAGGGTCCAACTTTATACAGCGAATGCTTTCCGTGGCATCCCGGGTTAAAACATCCTTAAGGATCCAACTTTATACAACGAATACTTTCCGTGGCATCCCGGGGTAAAACGTCCTCAAGGATTCACACGTCTGTCTCCTTCAGACTATACATTGAATGTTTTTTGACAACAATCCCTTAACAACATTACGTATTGTTTTGACGTCCTATTTCTTCACTTAGTACTGGTGCGTTCTAATGCATATCCGCATGCGCCAGGCGCATCTTCTGCATGGTCGACATCTGGGTCTGTTACCACTTTATCTGTATAACATTAACTTGGTAAAATAAGATAATGTGTGTGCAGTTATACCTAAACAATCATCATCATTCAGCAGGTACTCATAAGAACATCACTATCTTCACGGCATGCCTGAATGTATCCCTTTCCCTAGCCAGCTCTCTAGCCCAATGTGCTTTCAGTGCCAATGCATCTTCAATGTCCTGTATCTATCTTCAAGGAGATCAACCCTTGCCTCACTTCCCACAAACTGCACCCTCTATCACCGTCTTTTCCAAGCCACCATGATGTTTGTTGTGGCCAAAATACTTCAACTTCCGGGACAGGACGCTTTTTGTGAGCCAGTTCTCCTTGATGTAGAATGTCCATGTTTCTCCTCTTCTTGATCCATGGTATTCCAAACCAGTACAGTTCAAATATCATTAAAAATTATATGCCATTCCTACAGTGCACCCCTGTTGTCTTAGGGAATATTATCTGGTGAGGCCCCAATCTCTTCTGCTATGTGGTTCTCCTACCACCATCCACAAACCGTTAGAGCAGTTAAGAAAATACTGCCCACTGCGGAAATTATACCTTAGTACTAGAGGATCATGAAGTTGTTTGAGGCATTCCCTAACCTGTAAGCCACAGAGCTGCAAATATTAAAAAAACTGAAGGTTGCAAGGAAATACCCAGTCCAGTTTGCTCTTTATGTGGTAAAGAAGTGATTCGTCTCATCTCATCTTGACCCCTTTGTACCTTGCAGTGTCGAGATAAAGTATAATTTACTTGAAAGTTCCCATTTATGTGCTTTGTAAATGGAGATTCCCAGGGACTTTGTAATTCCTTCTGTCCATTGCTTGCATGTTCTGCTTCTTTTTTTGCTTCCCGCATGGTCTGTACATCATTGCTTGCTGTGGTATACTGTCTGCTGACATCCAGGTGATATGACCAAACAATTTCACCAATTGTCATCTAATGAAAAAAGGAGTGATTTTAGATCCCTCTGATAGCAAAACATATTAGGAAGCCAGTCGCCTTAATGAAAGCTAAAATGCACTTGAGATCTCCCTGTGTACCTTACAGCTTTGTCTTGACTGTGGTTGGAACAGGCTGGTTTGCTTCTCTGTTAGCAGCATACAGATGGTAATGTTAGAGTACGTGGTGAGCATTTTCTGGTGCCACTGGAAGGCATAATGAATAATGTAGTCACGAAGAAACTGATGGCACTGGAGATGTGACCTTTAGATGAGAGGATTATGGGAAGAGAAGAAAAAAAACATTGATGTAATCAGAGCTGTAGATTTTTACTTGACCACTCTTCAAAACAGTAAGAAGGCAAACAAATGAAATTTTGAGGCATCTCAACAGAAGAGTTGAAATAGAGAAATAAGCTTTATTTGGAACACTTTAGGCAAATAAGGTACAGGAAGACTTATAAACATGTATCTGGAAAGCTTCAAACACTAGATAATAAATAATAATAAAAGCTACACCTGCATCAGAAAATATAAGATGATTGGAGAGGATTAGAGTTTCATAATTGTCAATGTTTGCTGTAGACCCTGCACATGAAAAGAAGAATAAAAAATCCTAAGTAATATCCAAACCACAAAATGGAAGAAAGAAAGAAAAAGAAAAGATTTTAATTAATTAACTGATTTGAATTGATATTAAAGAGCTTTAAATGAATACAGAAGCCATGGCTGCCCATCTCAAACTGTTTCTCCCCACCATGCTTAATAGCAGAAGTGGAAATTGATGATGATGATTTGAACTGACTAATTTGAAGTATGTCTTTAGTTTTATATATATAGATATATATATTTTTTCCAGGGAACATAGAAAAACTCCCAGATTCTGCCCGTAAATTATTCAATGAGGCAAAATTGTATCTCATGGCTGAGTCTTCTGACAGCAGCACCAAGGAAGGTTTTGTCTCACTGTTTCAGGTTCTGCCCAGTGTGCCTGCAGGTAATATATTTCTTTCTATAAAATTCTTTTATGTGCATGTTAAATTGACATTTTGTAATATGATTAGAATAAATGTGTATAGATAAGTAATTTTCATTTATTTATAATTATGTATAGAGCTCATAGTAGTTTATTAACCTACAACTCCTAGGTCAACAATGTGAAATTAGTAGCAGGAAATGTTTTTGGAAGTAAAGCTGACCAGTGTGGTGTGGACTACATCACCCATCAAATGATGATTGTTTATTTAAAAAACAAAAAACAAATATGAGCACTGAATCATATGCCAGATGGGCCAAAAGTGTGAAAAGGGTCCCTCACTTACTTTACTAAAGAGCATATAAAGCATTATGTTGCTCCTTCAGTTGCTGAAGGTGAGAATGGGCTGTACAGGTTGTTAAGCTTAAGAGTAGTCAGAGACTCATAAGCTAGCCAGATTGTTATAGAGGAGGCAGGGCAACTTCAAGAGGAGAAATTCAAAACTATGTAAGTTCATGACCGCACCCAAAAGCAAAACCAGTGTAGTGACCAACAACAGTGCTGTCACATTAACTATTGAGAACAGTAAGATTGTTGTTGCCACTCACAAGCATTACTAAATGTAGCCTTTTCTGTAACTTCTGAATTGTCACATTGGTTTTGAGTGACCAGAGTCTGGTCCTGGTATAGACCTCATTATTATTTTGGCTTGTTGAAGGCCTGCTAAAGAGCGATCTAATCTCCACCAATGTTGGTCTAATGTAGTTTCCTACTCCATGATTTATTTGATTTTTCACAGCATCATTGCAAAGAAAAGTCTTGTTGAATTTCCCTAATAATTAAAAAAAAAAATTTTTAATTTTTTTATTTACAAGCTCTAAACTTAAGTGAAAAGTCCTGGTTGTTTGTCCACTTCTGAACTTTGTCTTGTTTCAAGAGTTGAGTGTTGCATGCAGAGCCACTTTTACAGGTCTCTATTTTTGTATGCACAGAATGTTGGTCCTCTTATCAGGCTGATGTATTGTGACATCAAAGGCAGTGTTGATCCTATTTAATGTGACCAGTCTTATAGTTGAGAACCGGTTTCTTTATCGACGTAGAGAGGCATAGATAGGTCGACTTGTCCTGGTACACCACCACATGTGGTTCAGCACCTATGCACCCTACATCGGTTCAGGCTTATGGACACAGTTTGATTCAACACTGCTGCTCAGGTTGTCTCATGGTAAAATAAAATTTGACAGAGATTCACTGCATGGACTTACTGCTAGTAACTAATGCTCTCTGTGAAAGGGAAATAATTCATGCAGCATATTCATTTTCCTCATACGCTTCTCATCTAAGGATATTTTATGGTCTTGATATGTTTTCTTGGGAAAAATTACATTTTGATAGATACAAATAAGTAATGTCTGTAGGATATCTGAAGGTTTTCTTCTTCTTTGTGTTCGCTTTATGATTTACACCGACAGACAAGTTCTTGTGGTAAACTTGACTATTTTTAGGAGTTCCATTTTAGTTCCATGCAACTTTGACTGCATTGTTGACTCATTGGGTCAGTATTCCCTTCTCATGAGCTGTACAAGGGACATTTTTGCAGTACAGGTTCTGTAGTCTGCACACACAGCCCTCACATTGCTGAACTACTTAAATGAAGTTTGTTATTTTCTGTCCTGAGGTGCAGAATAAAGACCTGCCCATGCCGGTCAAGTAAGTCCTAGTCATCTCTGGCTCAGTTCATATCTGGATGGCTCTGTTCTTCTCATAGTATGTTACTGCATTCTCTTCTTGTTTAAATTCTGCCCATTCTTAGCAATTTTTTCTGCGGTTTCATATCCTGGTATACCACAGTAGGATGGCAGCCATTGGAGTACAGTGTATTTTTTGGATGGCCACCTTACCAAGTTCAAACCTCTGGTGGGGGAATTTACCACTCTCGAGGGCTTAGAGCATCGAAAGCACATCTGTGACGATGACTACTTGGTGGCACTCAGAACTGGTGTTGTAAGATTTCAGCAGCCTGCTCTAGTGCTAGGATCTCTGCTGTGTAGTTGGAACAGAATGTACATGTGGGTGAATACTTTGTGTGGCGGTGGTTGTCAGGGTATGTGAAATAGATGCCACCAACCCATTTTATGGATCAGCATTGGTGTAAGCATGAATCCACGACTGTTTGGGATAATTTTCATGGATCATGCTTAGAGAAGCTGTTCATTGTTGAAGGTCCCTGGACTCATCTCCAGGTATGAATCCATTAACTAAAGTCAGCATCTTTATTGTGTTGCTTGCTAACTAGCTCCCAATGTATAGGGTAGGTTTCAGCGGAGTTGTTCTCATGGGTAGATATGTTTGATATTGTCTTCTCAGTCTTTTCCCAGATGGACAAAGCTACTACATTTGAGGCGCCCCTGTGCCAGATCATCAAATCTTGCATTTATTTGGTTTGGCTGCATACTATTAAACTTGTTAGTTTTAGTGTCTCTTCTAAAGGACAGTGTTTGCATTGCTGTTATTTTCAGCATCTCAAAGATTAGTGCAGTTTTCTTGGATTTTGTGATGAGTCTAAGGGCTTGGTTTTTTTCTAACGATTGATAGGTGTTTACCATCTTGACTACAGCAAGGTTGGACAAAGATTGTTTAAAATGTTCTGCCAGATCCCTCTTTCGTTAGAATTCACCATTCATCATAGAGTTATTTTTGACACCATCACTTCCTCAATGTATTTGTTTCCTGTTTCAATACCTATTTTGTGATTCTTTGTTTGCTTCTTTCAATATGTCGCCATTGTATTAGCATCTTCCTTCTCTTTTAACTGGACACCAGCAGCAGTTAAATAAAACCCCTTTAGATGTTTTTTTTTCCAAATACATAATTATCGTTTGGGTTTTTAATTGTTTCATAGTATTTTATTCCCATGCTTGAATCACAGCTCAACACATGTTAACACTGTTTTAGGCAGTTCTCAAACAGACAGTAAGAACCCGAGCAGCAAGGAAAGTCTGTTCACACCACTAAAGAAGTCAGCTCCACTTTATTACGCCCAGACATACATCCAGTGGAAGTCAGCCCAGGACCTCAGGGACCTTTACGGCATCTGTTTGCCCAAGAGGAAGACAATCTATCTTCAGCCCATTGATGAATTTCCTGATTTCATCAACACTTTTCGATTAAAGACACATCATTTGAATTTGAACTTTTTTGAAACTCTTCAAGGCTTTTGCCAGATATTTTTTTCTGGCTTTGAGGTGCTTGTAAGACCCCCTTTGTCACTGGAAGGCGGTGGTTGGTCTGTAAGATCCCGGTACCACGAGTCCACCAAAACTAAACAGTACTGTGTCAATGACTTTTACCCGTTGTTGCAAAAGGCTCTTCCAGCAGATGGGTTTTGCATTGCTGGCATAATATGGACGGATATTTTTCCAGAGGACTACAATTTTGTCTTGGGAGAGGCCTCAGTTAAACACCAGGCAGCTGTAGTCAGTTTTGGGAGATTTGAACCTCTTGGCTTTGACAGTGATAGCCATTCAGATGTGAACACAATAGATGGAATTGTCATGTGGAAACTTTTCAAGGTGAGTTGTAGTTTTTTTGTAAATGTCATCTTCAGTCATGTGTCTCTTCGATATTTTATCATCTATTCATCTGCCTTAGTCTGGGGAGCAATGCAGGGGAAAAAACTGACCTTATCCTAGGACGAGGAAATATCTGCAAGGCAGCCCAGGACCTTAACCCTTTCGCTGCTAAAGACATAATTTTACATCTGGCCTGTAGACTGCTAAAGACATAATTCTGCCTCCTCCATTATTTTGTGCCCTCACTGCTATAGACGTGAAAACATGATTTTGTAAATAGTTCAAATTGTCATTCCAGGTCACGGCCTGGGGTGAAGTATTGGGATTCACCTATACCAGTTCTTCAGTTACCACACCACCCCCTCCCCCGGTGGGGTTAAGGGGCCGTAAATTTATCCGTCTGTGGTAAACTAGTTTGGCGGAATTTATCGTCGCCTGGAGATCCCCTATAATCCTTCCTATTAATTTACAGGGCTCGAATTAAGAAAGTACAGGGGGATTCTAATGGTCCCTGAGTTCATAAAGAAAGGAAGGAAAATACAGAAAATCAAATCAATAGGGTGAATTCCCGGAATATAATGGAATACATAATTATTTTTCTAACTAAATTCAGAAAACCAAAGTTCAAAACTTTGTAAATTGAACTCAAATAAATCACAATGTACAATACTTCGATGTTTGAGTTTAAAAAAAAAAAAACAACAATTGTATTGATATAATGCTGACTAAGAATCCTAACAATTTATTCAACTCAAAAGGAAATTAACTCATCATTCCACATGAAAAAAAACCATTTCAATGTATCAACGTCACTCATCTCAACGATAGTTCAAGCTGAATACGGCGTTCTGTGGTATGGACAATACACTGGCGGCAATAATTGTAGTAATTGGATATCTGCATAAGTCTTCAGTTCATTTCGGAATCTCCTTCTATAATGTTGTTAACCATCCATAGGGTTACCGGGAACCTGAATTCGTATGATTTTATTATTGTTATTATTTCTGGGCAGTAGGCCGATGGAATGGCTGGGGCTGTCGTTTGGTGTAGTGGCGAATCTAGCTCTAAGGGTTTCTCCTAGTAACACTACGAAAACGTCATAAGTTATGTGCGCCTTCGTACATTTTCTACTCTTCTCGCGTCTATACTCAACTATATTTATTTTAAGTGCGCAATTCTTTCAACTACAAGATACAATTAACTCTTGCCGGACTGAAATATTCCGTTGGTTTGTTACACCGTCAAGCTTGTGGGGTGGTGGAACGGTCTAGGGGATGGTAAGAGCCTCACTATGCACTCAGGACACAGAGACCACGATGAAGTAGAAAAAGGAAGAATACAAATTAATTATGCTCACTGGGGATCCTGGCATATCTTAGTGCTACATTATATCTCCTTCTCTCACTGAATGCATCCGTCAGTGTCAGATGTCGTGTTTTGTTGTGACCTTCAGTGTGTCCCTGTGTTAATTTATCAGGAATAATAGTACTTTTTCACCCCTCCTGTTAACTGTGTTACTACAACCCCTCCCATGTCTAACCAGTATGCTACTCTCTAAAGAGGGTATTGTTTATTTAAAAAAAAAATATTAAAAAATTAACCTTCTGAATCTATTGTGTCTGTAAAGGCATGTTATCAGAAGTAAAGTTATCAAGCATGATATTGACTAAATCACCTCTTGAGTACTGATTTGTTTAAAAAAAATGGCAACATCATATACACAGTACAACTGAATTTAGAAAAGGTGTCTTTACTTTTATAATGCTGTCTCTTAAGTTTTGTGTGTGTTTAAAAAAAATATTGATAGATATTGTTCCTGCTTTAAAACTAAGCCTGTCACCATATATGATTTTGTCCTTTACAGTCACTGAGCCACGAACTGTGTCATCTCTTTGGACTGGAGCATTGCACCTTTTTCTTGTGTGCCATGAACGAGAGCTCTAGCGTGTCCGATGCCATGTCTCACCCTTTGTTCCTGTGCCCGGTGTGTTTGAGGAAACTCCAGCATGTGTGTGGCTTTGACGTACTGGAGCGTTACCAGCAGCTGAAGCAGTTCCTCAGCACCGTTGTCAGTCAGCTGGAGCACACTTCACAGTTGGAGGAAGCTCTGGCTTGGTTGGATTTGTGTGTTGGGTATTTGAATTCTTAGAATTATTGTTCTGAAATTGTATGTGGTTAATTTTATATATATATATATATATAATATATATTTCAGTTTCTAAACAATAGATTGTACAGTTTATTTTTTGGCATATTTCTCTGTCCCTTGTCAAGTGTATCATCATCATCAGTTAGCAAGTCCTTTACAGAACATCACTCTCGTCACGACACCCCTGAAACTTTCTCTTTCTCTAGCCAGTTCTTCTGCCCTGTATGCTTTCATAGCCAGTGAGTCTACAGTGTTTTGTTTCCACCTTCAAGGGGATCTGCCTCTGCCTTGTTTTCCGGAAACTGTACTCTAAATCATTACTCTCTCTAAGCCACCACATTTAACATGGCCAGAATAGCTCAGGATCAGGAGAGGATGCTGTTTATGAGCCAGTTATCCTCAACACTCAGATCATGTAGGATGTTTTCTTCTTTTTGGTCCAGAGTATTCTAAGAATATGTCAGGTGCATTTTGTTGTAAAATTGAAACTGTCTTTTCTGCCTGCGTTTACCATTTTAAGGGCAGAGTAGGATACGCTGGTTGTGAGCTTTAAATATTTAAGGCCACATGACTGGACCAGTCGCCCGTGAACTGTGCAGGATAGAAGTTTTATTTTTGCTTCAACAGTACAAAGCCTCTTTTTTTTTTTACTGAGGATCGAACCTTGGTCTCCTCATCACATAGCCAGCTGCTCCTCTGCATAATACAGTAGCATAATTAACTATGGTAATTAACTATGATTAAGCAAATAAATGAATCCGGTCAACTAAAATAAACATATTCCCCATGGTAAAAAGTAACAGCCTGTTTAACCACAGTAAACACAAGTTCACAGCTATGTCCTTTTTGTCTACACAAAACTGGATGAATACAGTATATAGCAGCTGCTTCAGCACATAGAAACTGCCTACAATTGTTCAGTGATTTTGTCTTGGTTGTTAACTATGTGGTCCAGATTCAAAAGATGAAATACAGTGGTTCACACAGTCTTTAAGACCAGTCCCTTGTATTTCAGTTGAAAAAAATGTGTCATGTGATTTGATTCTGTTATTGTAGTATGCACCTAATGAGCTAAACAAAAAGGTGATAACAAGAATTATTGGCCAATTTAGACCTTGTTTGATTGACTCACTCTCTTCAGTATGTATTGCTTTTTTTGGTTATTTCACTCTATCCATTCTCTGTTTACTTTTTAGTCTGTCTTTATTTCTTCAACCCAGTGGGTTCACCTGCTAGGAATTTTAGTTGTATTGCTATCTGTGTTGGTTTAAATATGTTTGTAAAATTCTCTTGTTTTCTGGGCCCACAATTTGCTCGAGTCATTGTGTTTTTTGTCTAAGAGTTGAGTTTTGTATATAATGTCAGAGGTAGGTTGCATTTGGTTATTGTGATGAAATGTAGATAAACTAAAGCTGTGGTATTTCAGTTGTTTATATCCTGTTCAGCCCTTTTGGTTTATAATTCTCTCTCTCTTACACACACACGCAATCATATGTACACGCATGCGTGCACAGAGAGAGAGAGAGTTTGTCTTTCAGATGCCTAATATTTAGTTACATAATTTTGGCTGTTTCATACAACATACACTCTATGTATGAATTATAACAGGTTAAAAGATACATTTTAAAGTCAAATGTGTCAGCCAAATGTCGCAGCCATGATGTAAACGAGTACAGCACAGTTGGATCTTTAGATGAATGCAGAAAAAGAACAAGAAAAATAGAAAGATATATTTTATAAGCGTTTGATAATAGACAATGTCGTGGGAAGTAAAGGTGGCCGGCGTGATGCTGATCACATCACCCGCTGATTGCCGATTGGTCAGTAAAATACCTTTCCAGCACTATATACCCAGTACGCCTGATTGTGCGGAAAAGGGTCCTTTGGATGAGTATTTTATTTCCCTTCAAAATAATATATTATAAGTGTATTTTTTCAATAATTGCAAATTATCAGATTGGGTTATCCATCTGTTGTTGTATTTAAAGTGATTTGGGTTATTATCTTTTAATGTCTCATATTAGTACATTATATTGCTATTTGTGTTCTTTTGATGTACTGTTTTATCTTTGCCTACAGTTTGTTTGAACTTTCTAACTTAAACGTATCTCCCACTGTCGTAGGCCTTTTGCAGTTGGTCGAATTCTCTCTTACAGGTGTCCTTACTGCAGATATTATTGTAGAATTCTCTCTTACAGGTGTCCTTACTGCAGATATTATTGTAGACAAGTAGGTTCTTCTCTACATTGGTTGGGTTTATTCATCTGCAGTGGTTTATGTTTAAAGACATTAAAACAAACAAAAAACCAAATAATTGTGCCTCTTCTCAGTGGAGCTTGGAAACAATATCTCCACTGCTAGCTGTGGGAAATATTACGTGTTGAGGCACCCATTCTCTTCCACAGTGTGACTCTTGTACCACTGTCTGAAAGCTGTGTAAACTCTCATTTTCTAAACCGCCCACCATTGGAATCGAACCCTGGTAAACATCAAAAATTGTAGTTTGAAATGATTTCACTAGCCTCTGAGTCACAGATGTGAACTGTTTTTGTTGCACACCCACAATTAAATTTTCATAATGTTTTGTTTTTTGTTCTTTTTAGATGGAGAGATTGTTTGCACTTAAAAAATTAGAATGAACTAAACTTTCTTTTATTGGAAAAATTATGTGGAAGCGTGCGTGTGTATATATATATATATATATATATATATATATATATATATATATATATATATATATATATATATATATAAAGATGAATTATGAAATGCCCTGAATAAATAAAAAAGAGTAGTGAAGAAGTCTTGAAAGAAACTGACTCATGAAGAGAACATATTTCCCTCATAAGAAGGAGACAGTCTACATTCTTAAACCATGTCATGAGAAGGAGAACACTGGAGTACATCATGACAGTGGGAAAGTTGGATGGGGAAAGAGGCAGAAGGAGACACAGAGAGAGAAGATTCTGGACAGTTTGTCATCATAGCATGGATGATCATTTGTCAGAATTATCAGAAAGTACATAAGACAGTTGGTTGTGGATAGATGTGGACTACCAATGCACATTGACTGTAAGAAGAATAAAGCTTTGTATACGCCTTGTCGGCAAGTTAGGCAGTTAGTTTTTGTGTGTGTGTATTTTAATGCAAACAGTTGTTAAATACAATAGCTACACAAAATTTTGTGTCTTATTTGTTCCACATTATGTTATGATTGTATGCAAACTATTTTTGGGATTTTTGGTAATGTTTAGATATGTATTTATTGAATATTTTACATTGTTACTGAAAGGTAATAATTGCATTTGCTGTAGTTAAGGTGGTAGAGAGATAATGTATGAGCAGACCCCCCCCCCCCCCACACACACACACACACACTACACACATACACACTACACAGACACACACACAACACACACTATACACACACACATTCACTATACACTACACACACACACTGTGCACACACACTACACACATACACTACCTACACACATACACTACACACACACTACACACACTATACCTACACACACACCAACTGGGAAGAAAAGAAGGCTTATCACACGGATGAATTGAAGCTGGTGATATCTGTAGCAACGAACCTCAAGGGCTTAGAATACTGAAGAGGACGAGAAATTAGCAGTAGTTTTCACAGAATGGCAGATTTTTTATTATTTTGCCTGTACCAGTTATAAATTGTCTAGCACACGTTTTATTTATTGTTAGTTATATTCATTAAAATCCTTTATCAATTCATTGTTTTACTTTAATGATTGTTTTCAATTAATGGCAAGTTGATCATAATGTTTTTTTTCTTTTCATTTTACAATTAACAGAGCAAATAGATAATCTGTTTTGTTTTATGAAAGCACAAAGAAAATGAACTTTTCCTTCTTTTCTTTCTTTCTTTTTCTTCCTTTATCTTCTCATTTTGTGCTTCTTTTATTATCATCATCCTCGGAAGCATCAAAGCTTGAAAATGGACAGTTGAAGCTATCAGCAGAATCTGATGTTCTATTTAGTGAAAGTGTTTGCACAATTTCTTTGTCTGTGACTGTGGAGTGAGAGGGCTCTGATTGTACAAAGCTCAGTGTACCTGCCTCATAATCTGTTGCCACCTTCCTGTCTCTCCATATAATATGTTTATATTGAATAATAGAGAGGTAGGAGAATCACAGTCGGCTCTCTGGCTAAGTCAATGCGAACGCTTCGTAATGCCGGGATATGGGTTCGATCCCAGCTGCGGGCCGTGTGCCTTGCGTTGGTTTCTCCAGTGGTACCAAGAAAGCTGACCTCCAGAAAGCAATGGCAAACTACTGGACATAAATTTACCTAGAAAAACCACGCAACAGCCAGGGGCTGTTGGGGTTGGTTCTGCAACGTCCTATAAAGGATACACAACTAGCCTTAGGAGAATCACAGCCAGTTAAGGCCAGGTATGAAGTTCTTTTCTCTGTAGTTTGAAGTCTGAGCAGTACTGTAGAGACCATATGTTGTCCATGCAATATAAACCCTTTCTTGACCTGCCTTGTTTACTGCAGAGAAAAGGTAACAATAGTACATTTAAAACAAAGCATGGTAGAGAAGCTGCTGGATTAGAATAGAAGTGCTCCCTGTGCCCGCCTATTGGAGCTTCCTTCCTAGACCAGCTGAGACTGGTTGCCTGGTCTGCCCTGCCATAACATTTAAGTTTTCAGGTTGCATTTCCTCTTAATCATTATTAATCACAGGCACTACATCAGGAGTCATTGCTGAAAACACTAAGAAACATGTTTAGCAGAAAATCGGAGCACTAATTGTTATGCCCAACATACAGTGAAGATGATCTTGAAATGAACAATTAACAATTTCCTCTTAAGCTAAAAATAAAGATGACAGCATTGAATATACAACATCTGATGATGATAACACCAGTAATCTACTTGTGAAATACCAATGTTCAGGAAAGAAGGGAAATCCAGTCACTTCATTTGCAAATAATTCTTTTATTTACTCAG